GGGGTGGAGGTGGAGGTGGTGGCCGTAGAGGTGGTGGAGGTGGTGGCAGTAGAGGTGGTGGTGGTGGTGGAGGTGGTGGTGGTGAAGATGGTATGGTGGAGGTGGTAATGGAGGTGGTGGTGGTTTTAATTCTAAAGGATTTTTTTTTTTGGAGAGGTTTTTTCGCTATAGGGCACATGCGCTCTCCAGACAGAGAGAGACATAGAGACAGAAAGCGAGAAATCAACCCCCAGAGGGGATGGTCACGCCACAATCCCTTCTCCTCCATTCTCCTCTTGGGATCTTGGGCACACACACACACACACGCGCCCGGCTTGAGTTTTAAGCCACCGAGTCCGGGACGCAAACCGCGGTCAACTACATGGGAGTCCAACAACATAGCCATTACGCTAACTGCTGGTTCCCTGTTTTTTGTTTTGTTTTGTTTTGTTTTTTTAGGAATTCCACCTGCCATTTAGATTTCTTTAACAGAGGCAACTTATAAGAATCTGAATAGTGTCCCCTAAAAATGGAGCCATGCAAGTGGTGAGGGAGACATGCAGATGGAGACATGCTGGTGGTGACAGAAGATGGAAATAAGGATAGGATTCAAGATTTTTACGAACTCCCAAAAATGTAACCAGTGACAGTACAAATGTCCTGAGCTGGTGTGTAATGTCCAACAGGGCCCTCTGACCAACCCAGGATGTGAAATGTGCTCCACCTTCAGATCCAAATGGAGAATGTACATCTGATGCATGTGTCTTATGCCCTCGCAGATCTGCTTGATGAACAGGATGGTATCGAGCTCGGTCAGGTTATAGTTTTCATCAATGATGCGGTCGAACAGCTCCCCGCCATCCACACTGTAGAGAGAGGATGAATAAAATTCTCTGTCCTGATCCTTTTTAAACTCCAACCCCATGTTGTTCTTGTACCAACTTGGTGTGTACGTTCCTCTGACTCTCCCCAGAAGGCTGTGTGCAGTTATTTCTCTGCCTCCTTTGCAAGTTCAGTTAGATAATTCAGAGGTTGAAGATTCTTATTTATTCTGTCAATTTCCCAAATGGAAAGTCTCAAAGTCTCTTTGATCAGAGGCTATAGCAAGTTCACACGTACCGTTCTCTAAGATGAAGGGACTATGAAAAATTTGTAGAAAATAGAATTAAAGTACAAGTTTATTTTGGTGCAAAAAAGTTTGAAGTTTATGCAATTTTTTCATAATATGCATTTTCCATGAAGTTTTGGAAGAGTCCTTATATAATACATATTGAAGATAAAGAGGACTCTCAGAAGACAAGAAGGGGAAATTCAAGCACCAACTGGAAGTTAGGGTCTCAGAATTTTAAGTCTCCAAGTAATTTCAGAGATAAAGTACATCTGTGTGGCTGATGCTAGATACTTGATAATTCAAAGTGCCTTATTGCACAAAGATAAACAAAACTCAAAATTAAATGGAAAATAAAAAACAAAAAATGTACTGAATTGCAGTATTGATTCTGTGTGCGTTAAAACTACTCATTAAGTTTTTATAAAGGTGATTTTTAAATTGAAGCACTGTAGCCCTAAGTCATCAAGAATCTGACCTGGGGACCACAGATGGTATAATGGTTATGTCACTGGACTCTCACATGAGTGACCATGGTTTGAGTCCAGGACCAAGCGGCTTAAAACTCATGCCAGGGGCATGTTCATACGTGCCCAAAATCCCAAGAGGAGAATGGAGAAAGGGTTGTTGTGTGGCCATCTCTCCAGGGGGTGATTACTTATTGACTCTGTCTCTCTCTGTCTCTCCGGTGAGCACATGTTCCCAATGGCAAAAATCTCTCCCCTAAAGAAGAATCTGACATAAACCTTGTATTAGTGAATACGTTGAAAGGGAGATGTAGGGACCAGCAAATGATGTGGAGGTTAAGACACTGGACTCCCACATGGCTGACCATAGTTCTAGTCTTGAACCTGGTGACTTGAAAAATCACACCAGGCATATGTGCATGCATGCCCAAAATCCTGAGAGCAGAATGGAGAAGAAGGGATTGAAGCATGGCCATCCCCAGGGGGAATAATTTTTCACTTTCCCTTTCTCCATCTCTCTCTGTCTCATTCTGTAAGTACATGCACCCTGGGACAAAATCCTATAAAAAAAAAAAAAAAGTAAAAAGGGAAATCTAGCTCAACATTCATTTTTTTTACAGGTTTCCCAGGCTACAAATCTGAATTGTAACAGCTGAGTTTAGATACAAAGCTAGGGCTACTTTGTCCTGCTACTTCTTACCAATGAAAGGACATAGGAAATGCATATTCATGAATAGTTTCCTTTGTGAAATGTGATGAATGTGTGATTCATGTGAATCAAAGTCAGTAGTGCCTGAGTTTGGTTCTGGCAGGACAGAGCTGAATGGCACTGTCGTGTGTGTCGGAGAGGAGGCAGGAGGGGATACATACTACTCCATGACCAACACGATGTCATTCTTGGACTCAAAGGCATCGTAGAGCTGAATGAGGTTGACGTGGTCCAGCTGGTTCATGACGCTGATCTCGTTCTTCACCTCTTCCTGAGAAGAAGGAAATGGCACTTGAGTAGGGTTAGGACAGGACAGAGAGGAGGAGATCCACCTCACACAATCAGTACCTTGTCCTTCATGCCTCTGGTCTTAATGATTTTGGCTGCCAGCTTCAGACCTGTCGCTTTCTCTTCACACTTGTGAACCTGGCCGAAACGCCCCCTGCCGGAGAAGAGGAAGCCACACAGTGTGAAGGAGGGTCTGCTGTAGGGAGCCCCAGCGTCAGCAGGCATAGGGCCCCACCAGTGGGAGTTGTTCTGGACAGCTCTCCAAGTTCAAACAAGCAAACCTATGAATGGAACTCCTGAACCCAATAAACCTCTAGACCAGCGTTTGTCAAGGTGCGGTCTGTGGGTATCCCCTAGGAGAGTTGTTAAGAATGCAGGTTCTAAGCCAGATGGTGGTACAGCAGTAAAATGCTACGCTCTGTGAGTCCAACCCACCTGGGAAGGTTCCACGTTCACTTCCAGAGACCTCCCTAAGTACACAGGCACATGTGCCTATGATCTGAGGTAGGCTGAGGCTGGTGCGGGGAGATCATGGCATCAAAATTATCGGGAGTACTGTTTCTCTGTCTGTCTCATTGTGTCTCTCTTGTTCATGGAAGAAATAAATTTTTAAAAAAAGAGAGAGAAAAAGACACAACAGCACATTTAGCACAGCCTGGTAGCACCATCAGTAGCAAACAGAACTGCTGTGCTGGGAGCCACATGACAGACTGCAGGTTCGGATCTCCCAGTCAGCTTGAAGACACACCATGAGCACCCAAGATCTTCGCAAGCTGGAGAGCCAGGAAGAGGGGGTCATGGTATGACAAGACTTTGGCAAGGGTGTATGTTTCCCTTTCTTTCTCATGCGCCTACCTGTACATATCCCCTTGAATAAAATAAAATAAATTTAAATAAATAAGAGTTCAAAGAATTCAGGTTACTAGGCCCTATTTTAGACCTACTGAGGCAAGAATTCCAGGTGAGTCCTCAGAATCTGTATTTCCAACTTGTTCTTTGAGTGATTCATATGCATCTTAAAATTTGAAAACCACCATTACAGACAAAATAGCATCTTTCTGACATGTATGAATGTCACAAGCTAAGCTTTTTAAACATGTGAGCTACATAGTCTGTGGTCTGATATATTATTTTTGGAAGTTGCATATAAATAAATAGTAGGTATTAGCAATGTTGTAGATAGATATATACAATAAAAAAAATACATCTGGCATAGTGGCCCATGAGATTGATAGTTTAGTTGGGTATCATCCTCTATCTACTTTGTAAGACAGCTTCTTACTTACATAATCACATACAAAAATGCACATTCTTAAGCAATTTTTAAATTTGATTAATGTACTTCGGCTCCTTATTTAGGAAAAAAAAGAACACATGTTCCTGCTCTGTGCCATGGTGACTATCACCACAGAGAGCCTCTCTAACAACACAGAGACCTTGAAGAAGGCCATGCTCTGGGAGGACTACAGAGAGGAGGGACCTAGCAACACATGAAGGGTGCAGGGGCAATGATGGCCACCACGTCCTATTCAGCTTGGGTACTCAGTGCAGAAGCAGGTAGCTCTTAGAGAATGACATTTGTTGAGTTACTGTGACATTGCTAAGTGGTTACTGTGACATTGCTAAGTGGTGACATCAATTCTAAACAGTGCTCAGAGGCAGTCTCCATTGAGCGCACGAACACAGCCCTGGGCACCTCTTCCATGGCTGTTGATGAAGAAAATGCCTTCATCCCTTCGTCAATTTGATCCCAGAAATTCCTGGCTCCTCATTGTCTGACTCCAGGACTGCCTGAACTCTCTGGCTCTCTGGCATGATTTTTTTTCTATGAGGGCCCGGAATGCAGGGGCCACCTCCCAGGATTCATGCTGGCCCACCACACTAAAAAATCTCATGCTAACTGAACATTGTGATCTGGGATTATAAATATCCTAGAGGCCACAGTGTTGGAGGAACTCCAAGGAAGTCAAGGGCCTTCTACTGTGTGCAAGTTTCAGGAGATCCCATGATCCTTGGCCTATTGCAATAACTCTGCACGAATATAAGATAAGTTACTGCATCCTGATCCTTTCTAAAAAAGGAAGTAAGCACTTGATCTCTGCATTTTGAAGACGAGACATGTTCAATGTGCCCCTCCAACTTTGCTCAGTGAGTTATGGCTGCCCATCTTGAGTAGAGTGTAGAACACTCTACTGCAGTATAATCAAGAAGATCCAAAGGCACCCCAGAAGGTGGGATGGAAGCTTTAAGGAGCCATTGACCACCTTGACAGGAAAAACAAGACAGATCCTAGGAGTTATTTCAAAGCTTCTTCTGCAAATAGTTGCTGGCTTGCCATTGAAGTCCCTGAACACCCAACTATTTCTGTCATTCATAGCACGGAAATTCAGGTTGAAATTCCCATTTCTCCCACAGGCCATACCCACAGTCTTATGGGGAGTTCTTTATAACTGGCCAGCTTAGAAAGGAAAAGTTCAGGTGGTTCCACGTGGGAGAGGGCAAAAGGAATATGGAAGAAGGGACTTCACAAACATCAACGAAGTACACCCTAATGACCAACTATAGAAATGTAATGATGACTATGCCCAGCTTCCATGTGTTGGTAAGTAAATGTATATTTCCAGGTAAATTTCCTACTTTCCTCTTCCTATTTCACACGTACATGCTGATAGTAGTGAACTTTATAATTTAGGCTTTGAGTTGTAAGATGTCACAGGGGGGTTATGAATGAAATAAGAGAGGAAAGAATGGGAGCAGCATGTGGTGTGGTGATTAAGGCTCTGGACTCTCACATGGCAAACTATGGTTTGAGTCCCTAACCTGGTGGCTTTCTCTCTCTCTCTTTCTCTCTCTTTCTCTCTCTCATCTCTGGTGAGTGAGTGTGTCCTATAGCAAATTAAATAATAATAATATAATAACAATAAATAAAATTAAATAAATGATTCTTTAAAAAAAGAGAGAGAGCGAAGAAAGAACGTTTCCTGGTGATAAATTTAGTCCCTGATGGACTTTAATCTTCCTTCTTTAGGAAGAGTAAGCATTTATCTATATTTTTTATTTGACTTCATAAGAGAGAGAAGCACCCTCAACAGGGTCTCATGTGACTATCTCCCTTCCCCAACCTTCAGCCAGCCAGGACTATGGGCATGTGTGTGTACCTGGTGTGTATAAGTTGACCCAGGAACTGAGCCCTGGTTTCCACGTGGCTTCCAGCATTTGCAAAATGTTATGCTGCCACTATGCCACCCATGACTGAGCCAAGGGTGTGCATTTCTATGTCTCCTAAACAACTTCTTCCATGAAGAAAATAACCAATGGAAATTATAAGAGTAATTAATACAGTAACAATATAAATGTAAAGCCAGTGACAAGGATAAAATGGTTTACCACAGCCACAAGAAATACCCAGTGTTGACTCATTTCTGCATTTTGTCTCTGAGTATTTAAGCCCTGGCTTTGGACAGTTTCTAAATCTCCTGGTGACTCACACTGAGTTTTTCTTATTTTCAGACATTACAACATGGGAAGGAAAGCAGATAATGAACATGGATGTAGTCACCACATCAACTTTTCTGGCCTCAGCGACAATTTTCAGAAATGGTTAAAATCTGCTAATGTGTTTGTTTCTAATGCTTCCAGTTCTCAGGTTGAGACTGGCAGAGTTACAGAGTCCTCAGGCTCTGTCTCTTTGGAACCTGTCTTCTCTTACCAAACAATGGTTAAAACTGAAGATGACGTACCCTCCCAAAGTTTCCGTTTTGTTCACAGTGTAAAGACTATTGACCGCTGCTTGTCTGGCTGTCACAATACGATGACCAAACGGGGCAGGAGGGGCTGGGACATCATCTGGAAGGTGAGAGAAAAAGAAAGGCCATCAGTCAAGCAGCTCAAGGGGTTTTGTTTCTGTTTTTAAGAGAGATTTTTTGCTGCAGGGCGTGTATACTCGCCCAAGAGACAGAGAGACAGAAAGCAAGAAATCACCCCCCCCCCAGGGGGGGTGGCCATGCCACAATCCCTTCTCCTCCATTCTCCTCTCAGGATTTTGGGCATGCACGCACACATATCCTACATAAGTGTTAAGTCACCAGGTCCAGGATTCGAGCCGCAGTTGACTATTCAAGAGTCCAGCAACATAACCATTATGCTATCTGCTAGTCCCAGTGAGACTTTTTTATGGCGTCAAGTACTGGGCCTCATTATTAAAATTTTCTCCTTTCAGCATCTAATACAATGGGCCATTTGTTTTACTCTGAATGATCCAGGAATATACATTTTCATTTTACATAATAATCTGCGATTCATGAAGGTGACATCTGACATCTTTAAGAAAGAATGTCCAGACCACCCAACTACTGTTCATACCATCTTTGGGACCACTTTTAGAAATATCAAAATATTGAAAATCTCCAGCCTCAATACAGTCCAAACTGGTAATACTTCCAAACCAGAAATAATTTAAATTCAAATAGAAGAAATGACTTGATCCATTTGTTTAGAAAGTGCCACAAATATTGTTCATTTAATTGAAGCAAAGAGAAATAAAAGTGAAAGATTTCTTGATGTTATTGAAATGTTCAATATTATATATTACTTTCCAAAATGTTTTAGGCTTTATTTAAGACACATTCGAGACACTAAGATGATTTTTTTTTTTCCTGACTGGCTGGAAATAAAACACCCAATAAAACTAGGCCAGTGCGCACTCTATAGTTATCAAATTTCTTCCACTTTCCACCCTCCATCTTAAGTGTTTAAGCTCTAGTCCTCATCAGCGTCAACTCTACCATGCATAATTACACAATAATATTACTCCCAGTATTCTTTTTACTTTTTCATAACTACTGTTATTAACATTGACTTGCCATGAACCTGTCCATTCTCCATTTATTCATTCATTAAGCAGCTACTGCATGCATCCAATGAAAACACACAAGGAGGTGAGTAGATAATGGTTTTGCTTTCAAACATTTACATTCATTCAACATTTATTTATTTATTTATGTTTAATTTGCCAGAAGGCATGTGTGCTTGCTGGAGACAGAGAGAGAAAGAAAGGGGGAAAGTGAGAAAGCACCTCCACAGGGTATGGTCATGCTGCAATCCCTTCTCTTCCATTTTTCCCTCCCATTGGGATTTTGGACATGCACACACACACACACACACACACACACACACACACTACCAGCATATTTCTCAAGTCACCAGGTCTGGGACTTGAACTATACAGTGGGTTATGTGGGATCCAGCCACCTTAACTAACACATCACTGGCTGGCCCTGATCAACACGTATTTCTAAAGTATGTATCTTGTTCTAGACATTCAGCCAAGTGTTAACATTCTAAGAAATTCAGATAATATAAATCTCTAGGAATCTGATTTGATATGAAAATTCATCTCTCATGCCATAAACCCTGCTGAAAAATGAAGTCAAAAGAGAATTCTCTTGGTAGTATTCGTTGCTTCAGATTAAGAAAAGAATGACTGAGTTAATGGCATCGATGTGACATTATTGTCTCCTTCTGGCTGTTAGACTCAGTGAGATTTAGTTGGGGCTGCTTGCTGATAAAGGTTAAGAAGCTTTAAAAGGCCAAGACAAACTCCACCTCCTACCCAGTAGGGTCACCAGATCTTGTTGTGGGAAGGTCTTTGTTACAACGGACTCCCAAAGTTTGCCCTGTGAGCGTCTCTGGGCTCGTGTAGCTTCTGTCCTCCTCGACGTATGTTCTTTGTCTGTGTCATCTGTGTCTATTCTGCTCTTTTTCTTGTCCTTCTTGATAACGCTCTCGTCTGTCACTCTTCGCTTACCGCTGCCAGTGTGTTCTGTCTGCTCAGCAATTGGGGAAATGGATCCTACTGCTGAATTTCCCAGGGTTTGTGATGTAGAAATGGCCTGTACACTGCTGATACACCTGCAAAATAAAACCCAGCTGCAGCTCTCAATGTTTCGAGGAGAAAACTTTTCAGATGGTCAAACTCCTTAGAACTAAAGCTTTCTGAAAATGGTGTTTTGGTGAAGAGGATGTAAGTTCTTTGACATGGTTGAGCATTTCAGCGTGTGGGGACAAAATGTAGCCATAGGTTCCTCCCATGAAATCTAAGCAGCATGATGTGGGTTTCGACGACTGCCATCCCAGAGTCTCCCCAGTGGGCTCACAGTGACCCTAAGTTATTCCATGGACCTCTCACAAAAGCAGTCATTATGCTACCTAACTAACTCAATCCTCATTTGTTTCACTTCCTTCTCTTATGGGAGAGAGAAATGACTAAATTATAACATAAGATAAGAATCAATATGTTCTCTGAATATTAAGAGCAGTGAGAGTAAATGTTTCCTGGTAGAAGAGCCGACCTAATCTCCAGTTTCCAACTGCTGACCCTACAAGACTCATTTTTGCAGTGTTGAACTTAATAATCAATAATGTCTGTGTTTAATTCTTGGATAATTTGATTTTGCCAAGAGTTGACAAGATTAAATTTAAAAGATATTGCTCAAAAACTAAAATAAGGATTATATCTTTTTTTTTTTTGAGAGATTTTTGCTATAGGGCGCGTGCGCTCGCCAACAGACAGAGAGAGACAGAGAGACAGAAAGTGAGAACTCACCCCCCAGGGGGGATGGCCACGCCACAACCCCTTCTCCTCCATTCTCCTCTTGGGATCTTGAGCATGCACACACACGCGCCCGGCGTGAGTTTAAGCCACCGGGTCCAGGACTCGAACCGCGGTCGACTATGTGGGAGTCCAGCGACATAGCCATTACGCTAACTGCTGGTCCCATAAGGATTATATCTTAAACCCTTAAGGAAGATCACATGTATTTTGGATACTCTATTCAAATAGAACAGTTCTGTGGTTCATCATGACCTAGAGTAATTAATTTTGATTGGTTTTACCTAAATTTATAAGTGAAATTTTGTAGTCGAGGAAGAAAGTCATACAATAATCTACTTCTTCCTCAATCCCTATAATATTTGTGTGCAAATGGCCAATTTATCAGGTATAATGGAGTAATAGAACAAACTCTTACAGATTTAGGTTTTGAGCATACAGATAAATCTGACCATTATTTAATTCTCAACCTCAGGAAGGATGTGTTTTCTATTGCTAAAAATAAAAACATATTAATTAACATAAAAAAATACTGATTTCTGTGAATACTAATAATTATCATCTTTGTCTACCAGTAGGTAGATTTAGAAAACAATAAAATATTAAAGATATCAGGCAAAAAGAGAAAATAATGGCAAGAAAATGTGGCCATGAAAAAGCCACATAAACTGGAAAACTGGATTGTAAATAATTTCTTTAAAAACTCTATCCTTGGGAACCAAGCAGTTAGCGTAATGGCTATGTCGTTGGACTCCCACATAGTCAACCATGGTTCAAGTCCTGGACCCGGTGGCTTAAAACTCATGCCGGGCGTGTGTGCGTGCATGCCCAGGATCCTGAGAGGAGAATGGAGGAGAAGGGATTGCGGCATGACCATCCCCCCTGGGGGGTGATTTCTCGCTTTCTGTCTCCATGTCTCTCTCTGTCTGTCTGGCGAGCGCACACGCCCTATAGTGAAAACCTCTCCAAAAAAAAAAAAAAAAAAACTCTATCCTTGGGATCAGCGGATGACATAATGGTTACATTGTTGGATTCCCTCTTGGTGAACCACAGTTCGAGTCCCAGACTTGGCAGTTTAAAACTCACACCAGGTATGTGTGCATGTGTCCCTAAAATCCCGACAGGAGAATGTGGGAGAAGAAATTGCAACATGGCTATCCCCCAAAGGGATGATGTATTGCTTTCTGTCTCTCTGTCTTTTTCTGTCTCTCCAGAGAGCACATGTGCCCTAAAGCAAAAATTTCTCTTAAGAAATAAAACCAAAAAACTCTATGCTTTTCATCCTTTTGATATGGTCTTAGATTGTAATGGCACATGGCTCTACAACAAACACCAATGGTGTATGTGTGATGCTATACCCCTACCTTTCATGGAACTCATCACCATTAGTATTATCAATGCATTGTTTTTTATTTGAACATTGGTCCAGCTCTGTTTTATTTGCAGTGGTCAAGTCTCCTTTTCTCTCAGCTTCTCTCCCAATAGTATCTTTCTTAGAATGAAGCTCATTTTTCTCTTCTTTCAACGTTAGATGTTCATTTGTATCCACCGTGACTTGCTTATCATCTCCAACTCTATCATTTTCTTGTCTGTTCAGGCTCTCGGAACATAAACTCTTTTGGCCATCTATGTTCAGTCTTGACTCTATGGAATCTCTTGAAGCAACATCTTCTACCTCATCTTGCTTTTCTGTATGAAATATGGCAAAACGTCTCTGAACTAGAGAGGCATTGGTCTTCTCAGCATGGTCCTTGGTGGGTTTATTAATCTTTTCTTTCTCAGAGGAGAGTTCCTTCTTCTGGGTAGATCTCTCTAGAAGCCACCATAGGACACAAAACATTTTAATGGAGAATGCATGCGATCAGGATAATTCTGGCTTCATATAATGGAATCACTACCTGGGTTTCTATTACCAGCAGACATAAGCTTTTAAAACCAAAGTAAAAGGAAACATGATTGACAATTGGGTTCTGAAAGATTTTCTTGTTTGTAACTTGTAGGACCCAAAGTCAATCAAATAAAGGCATTCAAAATCATTCCTCCCTTCCCAGGTCTTTATAAACATTTAATTTCCCCTGAATAAGAATAACAACCACCAGAACTTGTGTTACAGAAATCTCTTTGTCCATAATTACCTAATTTCTTGAGCTATTACCTATGAGGGTTGGTGTCCTTTCGCCTTTTTCAGGTGTCCTTTCTGTCAGCCCAGTGTTGGACCACATCTTCTCCTTTGCCTGTGGATACACAAGTAAGTAACTGAGGTTACATATGATACCAGGGTTCCTCAACCTCAGCTCTGCAGACTCTTAAAGTTGGATAATGCTTTGTTACAGGAACCATCCTGAGCATTAGAGAAAGGATAGCATTACTTCTGGCCTCTGCGTACTAGATGCCTCCCCACTGTGAGAACCAACAATGTCTCCAGAGATGACTGAATGTCTTCTGGGAGCAAAATTGCTCCAGGTTGAAAAACACTATATGGTTTTAACATAGGAAAAGCCCACAGCAGTCAATAATAATGGACATGCCAGAACAGTCTGAATGAACAAAATCCTATACAGGCCACAGTGCTTAAAAGCAGATAAGCTTGCTATCTCGACGAAGCTCTATAAAACTCTGCCATTGCTTACAGACAAAAGTCCCTCTTCAGGGATAGATGAAAGGATCTTGATCATGTGTATGCCACCTTTGATCCCTATTTAAGTTCTCTTGATATGGTTCATATAAAAACCAAATAAAATAGAGAGGCTAAATGTGAATGAGTTTTGTAAACCAGAAAGCAAGAGACCAAAGTGAGTTTTATAAATGGAACTTTTCCATTGTTTAGAACAGAGAGCTCTTTTCCTAAATAGATAAGCACCTCATAATCCTGAATGAGTTTAGCAAACTCTTTTAAAATAGCATATAAAAGATAAAACTTACCCTAATCTACCCAAATTGTCATAAATTCTAAAGTGACACATATATTGATGAAATTGTATGTATATCCACAGAACTAGTCTTTTGTTTGTTTGTTTGTTTTTGGAGAGGGTTTTGCTATAGGGCATATGCGCTGGCCAGGAAGACAGAGAGAAACAGAGAGACAGAAAGCAAGAAATCGCCACCCCCCCCAGGGGGGATGACCACACCACAATCCCTTCTCCTCCATTCTCCTCTTGGGATCTTGGGCACACATGCACACGTGCCCAGCATGAGTTTAAGCCACCGGGTCCGGTACTTGAACTGTGGTTGACTATGTGGGAGTCTAGTGACATAGCCATTACACCAACTGCTGGTCCCAGAACTAGTCTTTTCTTTCCTTTGAAACAGAACACAATTTGTCTTAGGATGATTTGCAAAGATGAAACACCATGTAAATGCAGATAGCAAGACAAATCGCAAATGTACTTTGAACAGTTCAAAGGGAAGTTCCACAGGTTCAGAGAATTTCCGTTTTTCATATGGGGGCGGACCTTACAACACACAGGCATGTTTAGTAAATTTGTGGAAAACCAACATTGGAAATTAGAGCCTCAGTTTCTTTTTAAGTGCAGAGATGACATATGCAGACTTTCCTCTCTGCAGGGAAAATGGCCTTCAGACTCCTCAGGAAAAGTCAGTTGCAGAACCAGTAGTTGGCGTAATGGCTATGTCACTGGACTCCCATGTAGTCGACCGCGGTCTGAGTCCCGGGCCCGGTAGCTTAAACACATGCCAGGCGCATGTGCATGCATGCCCAAGATCCCAAGAGGAGAATGGAGGAGAAGGGACTGTGGCGTGGCCATCCCCCCTGGGGGGTGATTTCTCGCTTTCTGTCTCTCTGTCTCTATCTGTCTTTCTGATGAGTGTATGCTTCCTATAGCTAAAATCTCTCAAAAAAAAAAGAAAAAAGAAAAGTCAGTTACTCCCTCCTCTATGCTTGCACAAAACTTGGTGAATACCCTCATCCCTGGTCTTACGTGAAGAGCTTTATTGAACTTTTTCTGATCAATTTCCCACTGTATTGTGGGCTTCTAATGAATCGAAGACGTTTATCTTTGATTCTATGGGGGTTGACCCAGACACGTGCACATAGTGATAACAGTCATGATGATAATGATGGTGGCAGTGATACTAATGATGATAATGGTGGTAGTGACAGTAACTATAATTATGTATGTCGCTGGACTCTGACGTAGTCGACCACGGTTCGTGTCCCGGACCCGGTGGCTTAAAACTCACGCCGGGCGCGTGTGCGTGCGTGCCCGAGATCCCGAGAGGAGAATGGAGGAGAAGGGATTGCGGCGTGACCATCCCCCCTGGGGGGTGATTTCTCACTTTCTGTCTCTATGTCCCTCTCTGTCTGTCTGGCGAGCGCACGTGCCCTACAGTGAAAATCTCTCCAAAAAAAAAAGAAAAATTTTAGTCCAGTTTTGAAAGTACATATCCAAATGAGTCAAATAAGAGTCTTAAATTGTGTTTAAGATAGTTTATCATTTTAATTCCAATTGATATTTCCCTGCTTCTTTTTTTTTTTTTGAAATGAAAACTTCTGATGTACTGATAGGCACTTCTGTGTCTGGATGTATTCCATGTGGCATGAACGTGATGACAGACACATATGTCAAATTCACAATGAAAAATGGTGTGTATCAGTCAGTTTCAGTCCATAACATATATAACACTGAAAATGTGGCTGTAAGACTCCATGAAGGATGGATAGATGAGTGTTTGGCTCTAAAGCCATCTGAATGGCAGGTGGTAAATGGTCCCAAGTGCCAATTTTCTTTGAGTATAGAGTCTGACTTAACCAACAGGATAAGCTGTCGAGCCTGAGGAATATAAAAATCAGCTTCCAAGCAAGGCTGGTTTTTTTCTTTGGCAATTACATATCACATATGTTTTACCATTTAAATAATGTAAGAAGGTCTTTAACCACCGCCACAGGCTATTATATTTTCATTTCCTTGTGTAATACTGACATCTAGAGGAACTTTGGACTGAAGAGTTTCCAATAAACACAGTTGCATTTGTCCTTTCTGTCCTGGGACAGCAGCATTATGAAGTGGTTTTACTTTGGATTTCTAAATTATGGGTAGGAGTTGCTAATCTAGGAAGCTTAAGTTTATAGATACAGCTTGTTTGTTGGCCAAAAATGAAACAAAATGTCTACTGATTGAGGAAGATAGGATCAGGACTGTTACAGGTGCATGAAGCACCTGTAACAATTCCAATCATACCCTGTTAATGAAATGATAACCACATGAGGGATTATATTCCTCTACTGAATTCATACTGATGATTGAGACAAACCTAAGGACCTTGTTTCACCCAACTTCATTCATTTATTCATTCACTTAAATATGTATGTATTTGCATAAGTACTCCTTTATTCATTCTTCTTATAATAATTCATCAGTGGATTTAGGATGACATAGGGAAGAAAGGAAACTTGGCCCGGATGTTAGGTATTCCAAATACAGTTCATCTCTCTGCATTCTGTCTGGTTTCTGAGACTGATTTCCTTCATGGGCCATGGGTACCCGAAGAATGTCCACAAGAGTCTTTTAGGGAATATGAAGGAAATGTTAGAACTTGTTTTTATTTATTCCATTCTTACGGACTGAATGTGTGTCCACCCATCCCTCTGCTCCAAATTTCATAATGGAATCCTAATCCCCAGTGTCATGGTATTAAGAATCAGAGCCTTTGGGAGTGATTAGATCATGAGAGTGAAGCCCTGATGAGCCCTGATAAGTGGAGTTAGTGCCATTAGAAGAACGAAATGAAAACTTCTGATGTACTGATAGGCACTTCTGTGTCTGGATGTATTCCATGTGGCATGAACGTGATGACAGACACATATGTCAAATTCACAATGAAAAATGGTGTGTATCAGTCAGTTTCAGTCCATAACATATATAACACTGAAAATGTGGCTGTAAGACTCCATGAAGGATGGATAGATGAGTGTTTGGCTCTAAAGCCATCTGAATGGCAGGTGGTAAATGGTCCCACGTGCCAATTTTCTTTGAGTATAGAGTCTGACTTAACCAACAGGATAAGCTGTCGAGCCTGAGGAATATAAAAATCAGCTTCCAAGCAAGGCTGGTTTTTTCCTTTGGCAATTACATATCACATATGTTTTACCATTTAAATAATGTAAGAAGGTCTTTAACCACCGCCACAGGCTATTATATTTTCATTTCCTTGTGTAATACTGACATCTAGAGGAACTTTGGACTGAAGAGTTTCCAATAAACACAGTTGCATTTGTCCTTTCTGTCCTGGGACAGCAGCATTATGAAGTGGTTTTACTTTGGATTTCTAAATTATGGGTAGGAGTTGCTAATCTAGGAAGCTTAAGTTTATAGATACAGCTTGTTTGTTGGCCAAAAATGAAACAAAATGTCTACTGATTGAGGAAGATAGGATCAGGACTGTTACAGGTGCATGAAGCACCTGTAACAATTCCAATCATACCCTGTTAATGAAATGATAACCACATGAGGGATTATATTCCTCTACTGAATTCATACTGATGATTGAGACAAACCTAAGGACCTTGTTTCACCCAACTTCATTCATTTATTCATTCACTTAAATATGTATGTATTTGCATAAGTACTCCTTTATTCATTCTTCTTATAATAATTCATCAGTGGATTTAGGATGACATAGGGAAGAAAGGAAACTTGGCCCGGATGTTAGGTATTCCAAATACAGTTCATCTCTCTGCATTCTGTCTGGTTTCTGAGACTGATTTCCTTCATGGGCCATGGGTACCCGAAGAATGTCCACAAGAGTCTTTTAGGGAATATGAAGGAAATGTTAGAACTTGTTTTTATTTATTCCATTCTTACGGACTGAATGTGTGTCCACCCATCCCTCTGCTCCAAATTTCATAATGGAATCCTAATCCCCAGTGTCATGGTATTAAGAATCAGAGCCTTTGGGAGTGATTAGATCATGAGAGTGAAGCCCTGATGAGCCCTGATAAGTGGAGTTAGTGCCATTAGAAGAACAGGCAGAAGAACTTGCTCTCCAGGGATGAGCAATTAGTGTAATGGCTATGTCGCTGGACTCCCATGTAGTCGACTGTGGTTCACATCCCGGACCTGGTGGTTTAAAACTCACGCTGGGCGCATGTGCGTGTGTGCCCAAGATCCTGAGAGGAGAATGGAGGAGAAGGGATTGCGGCATGGCCATCCCCCCGGGGGATAATTTCTCACTTTCTATCTCTCTGTCTCTCTGTCTGTCTGGTGAGCGCACACGT